CTGCTGAGGAGCAGGGCGCCTGCCGAGAAAGGCTGAGTGCAGATGAGGGGCTCAGTGGGGAAGAAAAATGGCTAGTGCAGCCTGATGACACTTCCGCCGTGTGCTTCAGGGAACAATTCAGTCCGTGGCTTCGTCTTCGAAACAACTGTCCTAGAGACTTTCAGCTCTTTCTTGCTGCTCTTCTAGAATGAGCCCAGAGCAGTTCTTCTCTCCCACCCATCCTATCACTGATGCAGACCTGTGCGGCCACGCCCACCCATCCTATCACTGATGCAGACCTGTGCGGCCACGCCCACCCATCCTATCACTGATGCAGACCTGTGCGGCCACGCCCACCCATCCTATCACTGATGCAGGACCTGCGCGGCCACGTTTGAACAAACCAGTAGTACAGACGTTCTCTTTTCTAAAACGGGGGTCAGTTCTCTAATTAGCTATGGAGAACCGTGTGGCCTTTGGATTTAGGGAGATTCAATCAAGCTAACTGATGTATCAGTCACCTCACACACACCCATTGGCTTTTGTGGCAAGCATGGTTCAAGTCTGTTTCAGCCGCTGTCGAGGCACCCAGGACATTATTATCCTGTATGAGCAGCATGCAGCGTGACAGGTCACAAAAAACGTTATCTTCTCTGGTCAGTGCCTCCCCGTTCCCTCTCGCCTCAGGACTCACAGCTCTCCTCGGTTACTACACTTGGACCTTCTAGATTCCACTTGTCCTTGTCAGTGAGGCAGCATAGTGTGTGTCTTTCCAAATCCCACCCATTTATTTCACTTGGCATAATGCATATCAGTTCTAGCCGTGTCGTTGGGAATGTCAGACTTTGTCTTCATGTAAGATGTAGAACATCCCATCACTTCTACGCTCCCACTCCTCCATGGATGGGCACTCAGATCGCAGCCATAATCTTAACTATTGTGAATCACGATGACAAAGAAGATACATTTCAATAGAAACAAATTAATAGAAGTTTGTCCTGGCTGGTTGTTCCTGTCAACTTGATACAAGCTCGAGTCATCAGTGAGGAAGGAGCCTCAGCTGAGAAGACGCCTCCTTGGGATCCAGCTGTAAGACATTTTCTCAATTAGTGATCAATGAAGGAGGGGCCCAGCCCATGGTGGGGTGGGGCCATCCCTGGGCTGGTGGTCCTGGGTTCTACCAGCAAGAAGGCTGAGCAAGGCTGGGGAAACAAGCCAGTAAGCAGCTCCCCTCCATGGCTTCTGCATCAGCTCCCGCCTCCAGCTTCCTGCCCTGCTTGAGTTCCTCTTCTGACTTCCCCATATGATGGACTTTGATCTGTAAGTGTAAGTCAAATAAATCCTTTCCTCCCCAACTTGCTTCCTGGTCATGGTGTTTTGTTGCAGCAATAGAAACCCTAAGAGAGACAACATCTTTCTGATATGTTAGAATAGACCAAAATATACAACTTCAAGGAGAAACATGACATACTCTTCTATGAGTCTTAGAAAACAAGCTCCCAGTTTTGGTCAACTAGCAGTACCCAAAATCGCTGCTGCTTTTATCTTCGAGGGGAGCTTCACGGAAGCTGAAGGCGGGCGCGGTGTTCCTATGCAGCAAGTCTAAAGGGGACATCAGCTGAACAGAGCATGGACTTTTTTCTTTTTTCTTTTTTAATGAAAGGGTACATTGTAGGATTCATTTTTGGTTGGTTACAAGGTGTCAGCATTGGCTCACAAAATCTGCCATCATTTCACCATCAACTCTTCTGGGTGACAGTGCCAGCATCCAGGTGACCTTGCTGGGTCATAAAGGTACTTCTCAGCTGTCCCTGGGCTGCCCTTGACATCAATGCAATTGAGTTTCAGGAGGGGAAAGCCAGTATTGAGAGCGGTTTCTTGTTGGATGTGGGCGTGAAGGTGTGGAGAGCTATTAATTCTTACAGCAAATATTTATTCTTTTGTTTTTGCATGTTCACTTGAGAACTGAAGCCAACAGGGTTTTATTTCCCATGGAAGGGTTTTGTGACTCATCTTCTGGCTTTATGGGCAGCAACTTGCAGCCAACATAACAATTCAGGCAGTTGCTAAGCACCAGGGGATGCAGGAAGCCACTATGAGGCCCTCTGCTCCCCAAGCAGGGATTGCTACCTCCAGCCTGGCCATTCGGGTCCCCTTTTGTATTAGCTACTTGTTTTGTTGCTGTGAAAAAAAATCCTGGCAAAAGAAGCTTCAGGAAGAAAGGATTTATTTAGGCTTACTGGAGGAAGGGACAGTCCAGTTCTGGTGGGAAGTCCTAGTTGCAGGAGCATGGGGCAGTTTGATGTCACAGGGCACCAGCGGTCAGGTAGCTCAGGGCTGTGAATGCCCGAGTTCAGCTTCTTTTTTCATTTCTATTCAGTCCATGACCACAGTCCATGGAGTGGAGTTTCCCACATTCAGAGTCAGTCCTTCCGACCTCAGGTAACCTGTTCTAGATGAGCCAGCTCAGCCTGGCCCCGAGATGTTTCTCCAAGGTTCCTGTAAATTCCATCAAGCTGATCGTCAAGATTAAGCATCACACATTTCCTACTGTGTCTGACCAATGTCACCATCACCTGGTGTCTCTGCTGATCACAGGCCCTTGATGGGACCTAGAGAGGCAGTTGATTGCAAGGAACCCAGAGAGGCAGTCCACTGAGGCCCCTCTTAGTACCCTGTACCAAGTACACACCCAAAACAGTGTACAGCCCCAATAATCATACTTGCAAGATGGCTTTCGCAATGGTCTCAGTTTTCCAGCTAAGATGTGTTGTGGAAAGCCTCCCCCAGATGGAGTTGGAAGAGGGAGGGCCGAAGCTTACAGGATCACAGGAGAGCCTGGGCAGGGGTGAGCTTCCTTGTCTGTGAGTGCCTTGCCCAGGCTGGCTTTGAACTCTGCTCTTTCCTGAGAACTGTCCCGCAATGCTATGGCTCACAGAGGAAGCAGAACTCCTGAACTCGGCAGGATGCTAGAACCTGGAGGACTGAAAAAGGGCAGAGCAGAGCTCTCCAGGTCTGCTGTCAGGTGCTGGGAGGAGCCTGTTGCTGAGGCGACTTTATAACTGTTGTCCGTGGCTGTCCTCCACAGTGCTCATGGCAACCTTTCCTGTTCAGGGAAGTCTGTAAGAAGGGCTGCTGACTCAACCACAAGCCTCCGCGTGCCTCAGTTTCTCATGAGAGACCAGGGTGGCTGACTTGTTTCACATCTTATCTTACACAGAGGACCGTGTTTCTTCTCTTGTTCAGGCTGTCAAGGGCGAGCCTCTGTATTGCCGAGAGCAGAGGCCAGATGGCAGAGTCCCGGCGCTCCGGATGGGGCGGGGTACCACTCTGGTGGTGATCGCCTGCCCTCAGCTTTGTATTTGTCTTATAGTCAAGCAGACAGAAGCACGAGTGAGACGTGGTGTTGGGGGGGACCCTTCATATTGTGTCCCCCCTGGGATTCAGTAACTTGGACAGAGCCAAGGAGCATTTCGAATTCTTTCTCCGGGAAGAGTTGGTGACTCAATCAGAGCAGAGAGGTGTTGACGTCTAAATCCTTTCCGCTGTATTCCGTGTTGCCGGCCCACCATGTTCCAACAGAGAGAGCCTCTGGAATACATGCCAAACGAGGCTCAGAGGAAAACACAGCTGTGGTGTAGTCACTCGTCGTGAGTAGGGCCCTCCGTCAAGGAAGCAGGCAGCGTGCCTGAGCTCGAAGGATCTGGTCTTTACGGAAGACTTTTAAGCTTTTGTGTCTGCTCTCCCTTTGACCATCGCTTAGCTGAGTAAACGCCACCACCATCAGGGACTTCTGATGCATTTTAATCTCTTTGAACTTAAATGGCCAAGTGCAGTGGCGAGCAGGCCACTGGTCCTCTACACACCTGGGTTCACCTTGGTAACTTGAGTGATGACACACTTCAGCTGCTGTAAGATTCCGTATTTCTAAGGCATAGCCCCCGGCTCCTGACAGGAGCGGCAGGCCTGAAGCTGCTGCCTCTGAGTGCCCACCCGTGGCCTCCCCATCTTGGTTCCATGACTGGGCTCCTGATGCGCACTCCAGGCAGAAAAATGCTATTCCGGTGGCCGTGATGCTGATGTCTCCTGTGTTGGGAGGAGGAACATTTGGCTGCCTCCCTGCAGGCTCTCCCTTCACCTGCTGTTCCATTTCACGGTCCACTTACACCCCATCGCCACCGACAGACACGTGAACGTGATCTGCCGCATCAAGGCACGTCGGCAATCCAGGAGGTGGGCTCCCAGAGGTCCCAGGCACGGTGCATTAGGCAGTGGGCCAGCAGGTTCCCATCCCAGAAAGCTCCCCATCTCATTAGTTTCTCCCGGTACGGAATGCACGGCCATCTAGGTTAGAGCAATCAGGGCAGAATTGCTTGTGGTTTCGATGGGAGCTGCGCTAGGTTCCCGAGGCTTTGGACGACGCTGTTCTGTGAGCTGTGGCATTTTAAAGTAGGGCTAACTCGGGTGGTGAGTGTGTTTGTCCCATGCCTGTTTCCCCGGCTTTGTTCTGAGAGGGAAATGCACACTGGTGTCGGCCTCAGATCCTTGGCAGTCTCCAGGAAGCTCTTCTCTGGGCTTACCAGGACAGCACGACATGCTCAGGGAGTAAGCAGAAAATGTATTTTGCTCGGCTATGAATCCTGGCAGGGGCTTTGACAGTCAAATAAGATTTGAGGGTTGAAGGGAAAAAATTCTTTTTATCTGTAAAGTTAACAAACTGAATCTGAGACTTAGTTGTTGAAGTGACCAGAATAGGAGGGCCCGTGTGGATGGATAAGCAATAGATTACTTCACGAGGCTGCTGTCGATCCTACCACTCATTCAGTTTCCAGCGGATCATCCGTTTTCTTAGTTGGAAGAAAACTAGGCCATCACATGGGTAGGTGACGACTGGGCTTGGTGTTCATGGACTCAGTAATTGATTCCTACGAACTCCTGGGTTCAGCTCAACACACGGAGCATCTGCTAACCGCCCAGCCACACTGTTAGGTCTGACACCTGATTTGCAAAGGGTGGAGAAAGGACTCTTAAACGTATCATTTCGACAGAGAAAGAAGATGAAGGCAGCTTCAGAGGGGTCTCAGTCAGCCGGAATCCTGGTCTGAGGGCAAGGTAGAACCTTGCAGGTAAGTGTAGACTCTGGCTGAGTTTGGTTTCTCCTTCGGGAGGCAGTGACTATATCCCCAAGAGACTGTACTTCCAGCTTTTGGAACTGGACAGAGATCTCTGGTACTGGGCTTTAAGAAGCTGAGATCTGGGCCTGGGAAATGGACTGCCTTGCAGCACAGGGCTGCTGACCCTGTAAGGCCTTGAACAATTTGTTTGTTCCATTCACCCAAAATGCTATAAAAATAGTGAGGGTGGTGAATGGTGATTGATGAACATCAAAACACAAATAATGCCGGTAATTGCAATTTAAAGAGGAATGTCCTCCGCTTTGATTAATCTGACCCTCTGGGCCACCCTTAACAGAGAGGCGTGGTAGAATGCTAATCAGGAAAGGCAGCCAGGAGAGAAGGAAGTAACTCCCCAGGAGTCCAGCCCTGCCCGGCTTTCTCCAAGGCTGCCCTCTGAGGTCTCAGCCCTTTTCCATCTTTTTGGCTGAAATCTGAAACAGGCCCCGGTCAAAGCGTCAGCATTACCGCTTCACCCTCAAGCTCTGCTTCTTGGAGCTGTTTCCGCTGGGCTGGACGAGCATCCTGAGTGGTACTAGGAACACCGCCCCAGGCAATTTTAGAGCACTTGGTGCCCATCAGTGGCTTGATGAGCTGGCTAAGCAGTCCACAATGCTAGGCAGTGACCTTGAAAGGTCAGGCAGGTCCCCCACCTGCCAGCAAGCGGGAAGGCGTAAATGGAAGCAACTAAGCCAGCTGGGCCCCTCACAGGCCACTGGGAGAGCCCCAGGGCAGCCTCCTCGGTTGAGGGACCTGCTCTTCTGGCTTTCTGGCCATCCTGGGGCTTCCTCCTCCCCTTCTTCTTGTTCTTGCCAACCTCATACTGAGCCTGCAGGGAGAGCCACCCTGCGGACAAGCCCTGTACACCCCAGAGGGTTCCACCTCCCTTTTGGCGGCAGCAGCAGCAGGTCTTCGAATCTTAGTGGCAAGGACATAGTCCACATGCCTGAGCCAGGAGGCGTGTCTTCTGGCTCCCCATATAGAGTCATGTGTGTTAGGACAGTTTCTGTCCCTGCTTCCCCGGGAGGCCAGGCCACAGGACACAGCAGTGGTGGAGAGGGCAAGCAGGTGCATGGGTTCCCAGCAGACTTGTTGCTAGGGGACCCTAACACCTGCCTGATGCCGCTCGCCCACGCCGCTCGCCCATGCCGCTCGTCCACACAGCTCACCCACGCCGCTCGCCCATGCCGCTCGCCCACAAAGCCTGTCTTCAGAGGTTCTGGTTCCCAGAGCTGAGGGAGGTACTGCACACCCCCACCCAAGCCCCACACTTAAGCTAAGAGAATTACAGCGTTAAATGAGAACGTTCTGGGCCTCAGCTGGGTTCATGGAGAAGAGAAAGACAAGGATTCTGCCTTGCATGTCAGAGTAGACTGACAGCTTGGGCTGCATCAGTGGGCAGTGCCAGGGGATGAGGTTTCCGGGGAACATTCCAGAAGATTCCTTCCTTCTAAGTTAGTCCTTGTCCCAGAAAAGTTTCCTCAGAACCCAAAATAGCAAAACCAATATTTTTCATTCCTTCTTTTCCAGGGAATTTGATACGGGACACCCCTCTGCGTGCTGTGAATGTTTTATCGCCATTGGTTAATATAGAAGCTGTTTTGGCCTATGGCAGGGCAGGATAGAGTCAGGTGGGAAATCTGAGCAGAGAGACGGGGAGAAAGAAAATGGAGTTGGGGAGACGCAAGCAGCTGCCGGGGAAGCAAGAGGTGAGGTAACAAGCCAACAAGCTTCATGGTAAAATGTGCAATAATAGAAATGGGTTAATTTAAGTTGCAGAGCTAGTTAATAAGAAGCCAAGCAGTTTGTAATTAATCTTAAGCCTCAGAGTGGTTATTCGGGAATTGGCAGGTGAGAGACATCTGGCACAGATCCATCCACATAAGACCTCAAAAAGCTTTAAGAAGCTCTTAGCAAAGAGAAATGGAGCCACACGGGGTTTCCTAGTCTCTCATGCCAGCCATGGCACAGAGACACATCCCCAGACAACTGCCAGAGAGATGGAGCCGGCCGCCAACCGCCGTGGGCTGAGCCGTGTGGCGGATTCCTGCAGCCCCCTACACAAGCCACGGTAAAGAGGCTCCCTGGGAAGCCGTGTTTTAAAGTCTTCACTTGTGTTCTGGGAGAGATGGGAAGTGTGTGTTCATATGCAGAGATGGGCGCTTCTGGAACCGTGACTAGAATGGAGAAGTCACTGGGAAAAGTCACCGACAGCATCTCGTTGCCACTAGTTTTCTTCACATCTCTACAGTACTGTTGGTTTAAACACGCTTACATTGTTTCAGATAGGTATTTTTAAATGATTTATTGTCTTCATTATTTTATGTGTATGGGTGTATTGCCTTCATGCATGCCTACACACCATGTGCTGTGTGGTATCCAAGGACTACAGGGGAGGGCATGGAACCCCTGGGGACCGGAGTTACAGACGGTTGTGAACTACATTGGGAGTACTGGGAACTAAACCGCTGCCCGAAGAGCAGCCGGTGTTCTTAACCACTGAGTCCTCTGTCCAGCATTCTAATGTTTCATTGATAAAGAAGCCATCAAGCGTGCCCTTTGGTTAATTTGCTCAAAACTCAGCACCTTCCTTCTGTGGATCCTCCCTTGATTTCAAGGCCAGAGGTTACCCATCAAGGGCCTGTGGTGGTCCTGTGGTGTCCCCAAAGTGCCAGTGGAATCCTGCACCTGCACTCTGAGCTCTGATGCCCATGCAGAACTACTTTCTGCTCGTTTGTCCTTTAAGTCCTGGCCTCCTCCCCTGCATGCCCTGTCTTCCTCCTTCTCCACCAGCATCTGCATGACCCTGCTCGTCCTCCTGCTTCTCCTCTCTTGGTGTTTCCTAACTGACCCCGCTGTAGATAACTCAGACCGTGGGCTGCTTATTTCATGGGCTCTCCTCGCTCCTATACCTGTGTTCTACCAGCATTCTCAAGATCAAGAAGGAAACGTTTTGCTCGCCATACCTTTGTATTCAAGAGGAATGTTGACCACGCCCAAAACCCGCTCACCATCCTTCACTTCGGCTCTAACGTGGACTGGCTTGAGGTCAACCACCGTTATGATATCCCCTTTGGAGAACGACAGGTTGTCTAGTGACCCTGAAGACAGTATTGGCCACGAGAAAAGGGAAAGGAAAAAAAAAAAAACGAACAACTCTTAGAGGTTGAAGTTACATCCAGAGGTTCACATTTCTCCAGGTAAATGAGAGCTTTAAGTAAAATGTGTGAACACTTAAGTAAAATTTGTTAAATATGACGGGGGAAGATTAATGGAGGCCTCTTAATGAATACAGAGGAAAAGACTGCTGGGTGATGGAGGCGGACTCTTCACTCCATCAGAATATGTGATTCACTTTAAAGTGAAAAATGTTCCAAGTCATCCCCCCCCCCCCGGAAGTAGCCATTATGATTTGTCTTGCCCAGTGGGCAGCATGGCCACCCCTGCCATTTCCAGCAGCAAGCCCCATTTTCCCTGTTCTGACAATGCAGAGGCAGTGCTAGATGGCTCTCTGATGCAGAGGCAGAGTGCTTGCTAACCACGGGAAACCGTGGAGAGCGTTGACGTGCTTTTGTTTTTTTTTTTTTTTTTTTTTTTGGTTATCACCAAGCCAACAAAAGACAATTTTTCAAGCTCACACTTATCTATGCCTTAGATTTCACGTGTCAAATTGCGGTAATTTCTCAGCAGAGTGAAAAATATTCACTGCTCAAAAATAACATTTTTCCCCCTTCCTAGGCAATACTGGTGAATTTCTCCCTCCTTTCCCAACCTTCTGTCAGGTTAAAAAAATAAATAAAACAACCCTTCAAACAGCAGAAATATGACAACCCATAGCAAGGAGCATTGCTAGGCTGTATATTTCATTCTGCCCAGGGCTAAGGAAAATGCTTTAGCAAGTAAATATATGTCTTCCATAAACAGAACATTTTCTCGCTCTTTTCCAATACTCTACCTTCTTGGGAAAGAGTTTTTTTCCCCTTTATGGTTTGTTAAGAAGAAATAAGTGCAGTTTTTTCCCCCAAGGCAGGTGATTCTTGTAGAATAATACTTGATTCTCCTAACCCTAGTCCTAGCATCTCTCGACATTATCTGGATAGAACACGACTCCCACGCCCACTCTCATTCCTGATGTCTTGCAACCAGGCCTGATAAGGAAGCCTTCATCTTTGGAATTTGCCAGCTTATGCTCCTCCTGATTCCAGACTTCTCTCTCTCTTCCCCCTCCCTCCCTCTCTCCCACCATCTCTCCCCTCTCTGTGTCTCTGTGTCTCTGTCTCTCTCTCTCTTTCTCACCTGAAAAATAGTTTCCATCGGTCACTTCCACTTGTCTGGGCAAGGAGTTCTGATTTAATGAATTGATGTAAGAATCCCAGGTTTGCTCCATGACGACAGGGTCGTTTCTCCCCTACAGGACATGGCCAGCGCTGCTCCAGGCAGTGAGCAGACAGCAAAGTTGTCTCTTGTGAGCAGGTAACCAGCTACCTGATCATGACCTGAACAGTGAGGCAAGTGTCATAGGAGGAGGAGGAAGTAAGTAACTGGACAGGAAGAAAGAGTTTGTTGGTTCAATGTCCAAGGGCTGGGAGGGGCAGGTACCTGATTGTTTTGGATGAAGGATTTTCTGGAAAGGCTGGGTAGGCATGTTGGGAGTATCTTCTAGATTAAAGTATTGCACGCAGCAGCATCATGCACAACGCCACCCAAGTATCCCATCACAGTGCTGATTCCGTAGGTGGGGTCTGGTCGTCTGCACGTCTGGCAAGCCTCCAGATGACGCCTGCTGGTCCTTTAACTACCTTCTGAGGAACAGGGTGCTAGCAATACCAGCATTGCTTGGGTTATGCGCATTCGTGGTTAATTCTGAACCGCCAGGAATGCACAGGTGTCACAGTAGGGAAAGAAAGAAAAGCACCTCCCCTTGGGGTCTTTAACCAAGAGAGGGAGCAGACTTGAATTCTCCACTTCCTGCTCCCCGCCCTGTCTTCCATCCTGGGTCTGCTGTGTGAGCCTGAATCTGTGTCTGTCTGAAGAAGAGGCTTCTTGTGACTCTGTCCCTGCACCTGTGTCTTCCATCAGTGTGTGCCTGTCCCTAACACCAGGCTTCTGCTCTGTGTTTATTGAGCAGCACGGGAAGGTATCACACACGGGAGGAATGGGACGCTTTACAGGCATCTTTGACAGAGTTTTGCTGGGGACTAAGTCATCGACGCCAACTGATTCCACCTGACCCAGACAACGGGCACCATTGTTTATCAACCAATATCCATAAATGGCCGCCTTCAACTTTTACGGTGTGTTTGCTATTTTCAGCAGATGACATACATGCACTGGGGTCAGGGGCAGGGAGGAGCACATAATTTAAGATTACAGCCATGCGTTAGCTTAGGTTGTAAAAGCTGACTGCATGGGAAATCCAAGGTGGGGAAGGCTGACTGTTACCTTGTTTTCTTAAAGGCAGGTTAAACAAACACCTGGAGTGCACAGTTGGGCAGCGGTCCTGAGTGGCCGCAAGGTGTAGTGTTAACTCTGGCTGTGAGGTCCAGCAGAAGTTCCAGGCTCTTGGAATGTGAGGTCTGTAGATCATCATCACCAACATCGCCCGAGAGGCTGAACACAGCCAACAATCGACTCACAGCCTACCCAACAGGACTGTCCAGGTGTGGGACCCAGTAAATCGTGGCCCTGGGTGGACTCTACCATCCAGCAGCATCTCTACCATCTACCAGCATGCTGAGGATGCAGACTCAGGCTCCACTCTAGGTATCTTGGACCAGAGTCCCATTCCCTTATCACTGGCAGAAGGGTAAGCAGCTGTCTGTGGTGCCTGTTAGCATACCAAAGCACCCACTGGCCCCCAGGCTCCTTCAGTATCACAAGTACCTGCTACACATTTCAGAGTCCATGCTGGCACTCTGGCTGGCTCTTCTCAGGTCTTCTCTTCTACTCTAAACTTCTCCAGCTCAGGGGCTTTCCTCCCTGCAGCTACTCGTTCTTATAACCCTGCTATTCCCGCTATGCTCGTTCTCTCTGCCCATTCTTCTTTGTCCTCATTTCTCACTGTCCCACCTCTCTCTCATTTTCTCTCTCCTCTTCTTCTCTCAGAGCCAGGTCCAGCTGACATTATGTTAGGCTTTAAAGGGACTCTGTCAGCACAATTTTACTTCCTATAAATACCTAAGTAGTAGCCGCTAATAAACTTTGTGTGTGTGTGTGTGTGTGTGTGTGTGTGCTAATGTTAGGCAATAGACCACTTAAAATCTTCTTCCTATATATTCAAAGATCTTTATATTCATCTCACTGCTTTTGGAGCAAGTCCTACAAGTGTTAATTATAGTAATTACTGAGCTAAATGGTTTTTAATATTTCTCAGGCTTTTGTTATCTGTTGCCAAGCTGCTTTGCAGAAAGTTTGAAAAGTTGAAACTCTAGCTGGTAGATCAGGGTACCCGCCTTCCTCTCCGGCTTTGAGAACTGTTGATTTTTGGAATATTTGCTAATGTGGTAGGAGCTAGCCTGGCATGGTTGCTGTCTTCCTGCTTCCTCCGTTCACTGTGTAGCCATGACACCACGGGAGAACAGCTCGTGGGATTCAGGCATCCGAAGGCCGGTTAGTTTTCCCCATGCCTGTTCCTGGAGCTCTCCCCATGCCATGGGATATTCATGGCCATAAACCTTTCTCAGCTCTCTCCCACATTCCTGGGGCAGTTGAAACTGGTCCTAGAGCAGCTCTCATCTGATCCAGGTCAACGTCTGAACTTAACTCTGCTCATAGGCTACTGTTGTCAAGCCTACCCGCACTGCTCCCGGTAGCCCCCTTCTTACCTGTGTGTTTTACAGTTCAGGTGTCACATGACCCTCTAGTAACCTTGTAAAGTATGTGTGTGTGTGTGTGTGTGTGCATGTGCGTGTACATGTGTGCGCGCGCGCGCAATGATGCCATAGCCAGGAGGACAAGCTTCAGTGAGGAGAGGGGACTTAGTTTAGTGCCACTTCTCTGCTGGTCAGATGTTGTCACTCTTCAGTAACTGTTCAGTTCTACCAGTAGCCCTAGACTAAGCTCCCTCAGCACTTTCTTTATGGACCATGCACAAGATTTAGGAGGACACCATTGTAATGTCCCCATTTAAACTTCTGGCTGTATGTGTTTATTATCTAGTTGCTTGTTTCTCTCTAGCGCTAGATTTCCTAGCTAACACAGGCTCCGAATGTTAGCATCTCCTACCTCCTCTCAGATGTAGTCTATGGCTTGGGCTGGCCTTTTACTGAAAGAGCAGCCATCACGCCAAGGCTTATGCTGGTCTCTGCTTTGAGCCTGACAGAAAGGACACGGCAAAGGGGTAGGGTGCTGGCTTTGGGAGAACGATGAAGAGAATCTGCTTTTCTTACATTAACCATTAGAAAGATAGAGAAGTCACAGCCATCGGGTCTAAATGATGGCCGTGGGGGCGAGGACCTCAATAGCCAGACTTGTTCCTGGTGTTAAAGACCCCTCAAAAACAGAAATGACAGTGAGCGTGGCAACCCCCCTGCTCCAGCCCTCAAGCCTTATGTTTTGGAGATCACAAAGAGGGTCCACATGTCTGCCACCGGTGGGTTAAAGAGATATAAGGAACTGTGGGATTATATTTGGTTTGTGTCATATTAGTTTGAGATGAGGTTTCTTTTGCTAAGGTTGGCCTCAAACACGGCTATGCTGAAGACGACTGAACTTCCGATCTCTCTGCCTCTGCCTCCTGAGTGCTGAGATTATAGGTATGCACCTACACATGCATTTGATGCAGTGCTGGGCATTGAACCAGGGATTAAGGACACTAGGCAAACATTGTACCAGCTGAGCTACAGCCACCATCCCAGGGTTCTGGTTTGTTGCTCTATGGATATGTTTATGAGTGAAGGGCTGTGCTGCTCACAGCGATCTCCAAAAGTGATAGCTCTTCAGCAGTACTCTCTTTAGCTTTTCCTGCACAGTCCCATTTCCTGTAACTGTAACAAAATAACCAAGACTGTAACTGTAACTGTAACAAAATAACCAAGACTGTAACTGTAACTGTAACAAAATAACCAAGACTGTAACTGTAACTGTAACAAAATAACCAAGACTGTAACTGTAAAGACTGGGCAATTTGTAAAGAATGGAAGTTTACTTTGAGGCTGGGAAGTCCAATAGCACACCATCTGGTGAGGGTTTTGCACCTCATCCAAACATGGTAGAGTGCATCTCACAGGGACACAGGGTCAGTGGGCTAGATCAGCGCTGCGGGTTAACCCTTCTGTACACTGTGAATATGTATTACTCTCATTGGCTGATATAGAAGCTGATTGGCCTATAGCAAGGCAGGATTAAGTTACGAGGGATGATCAAACTGAGGATACTGGGATGAAGAAGGGCAGGAGTCAGAAAGATGCCAGCCAGCAGGATGTACAGAAAATGAGATAACAAGCCATGAGCCATGTGGCAAAGCATAGCTAAGAAACACGGGGTAGTTTAGACGAAACAGTCAGCTAGTAGCAAGCCTGAGCTATTGGCCAAGCATGTCAAATTAACATAGGCCTCTGTGTGGCAATTTGGAAGTAGCTGCCAAGGCGGGAGAACTCTGCCTACAGATCAGGGGTCTTCCCCATCTTATAACACCACTAACATCATCAAGGATCCTCATCACCATGGCGTCTTCCAATTAGTTGTCTCCTGTCTTAGTTAGAGTTTCTATTGCTCTGAAGAGACACCACGACCATAGCAATTCTCACAAAGAAAACATTTAATTGGGGCTGGCTTACAATGGTTTAGTCCATTATTGTGGGTGGTGTGTGTAGACATGGTGCTAGAGAAGGGGGCTGAGAGTTCTATATCTTGATCCACAGACAAACAGAAGAGAACTGAGTGCCTCACTGTGTCTGGCTCAAAGCCAGCCTCCACAGTGACACATCTTCTCCAACAGGGTCACACTTCCTCCAACAGGGCCACCCCTTCTAATAGTGCCACTCCCTACGGGGGCATTTTCTTTCAAACCACCACCACACCTCCCCATGGCCTCACAATAACTTTGGGGATTAAGCTTCCTTAATGTATAAATTAGCAAAGATTTACCTTTTAGTAAAGTAGCAAAAATTTATCTAAACAATTATTTTTTTAAAAGGCATTTTCCTTGTAGATGCTGACGTCTCTTTGAAACTCTCGACCAAGTCCAAGGGAGCAGTGTTTCAACAACACGCTTGACTTCAGTCCACTTTGAGTTTGCTTTGTCTGAGTTCCCTCCCATTCTCCACAGATGACACCGTATCTAAAGAATATGGGAGAAGATAGCTCTCCAGAAACTTCCTTAACATCAAACATAGCAGTGCCCTTGAGCAGTCTGGAGCTTGAAATAGAAATCCAAGCTGAAAAAAAAAAAGCCCGTTCATGGACAGTCTAAAAGTAAAACAAGACCATAAAACTTAATGGGAGAAAGATCTGGCCATAGGCTTGTTGTCTGGGTCACTGTATGCAAAACTATTTCTTTATAGGAAGTGGCTTTCAACCAAAAGACATTTGAACAAACTAATAAACAGTGAACTTTGAGCTCCCTTAGTTGACTGAGTCACAAGTTGACAGAACGTTTGTGGGTGTGGGTTTCCTGAAGAAACAAACTTCAGTGCAAAGAACACATTTGGAGCAGTGACTTTCTTTTTAGTGGCTTTTTAATGAAAGGACTTTGCCTTATAGAAATAGTTTCACTGTCTTACTGTCTTCCCTATGTTTTACATATTGTAGGATTTGTGGTTGATAGCTATTTGGAGGTACTTGTATAAATTCTTCTTTGCCAAAGAGTTATGTTCATGCATCACAGAACAGAGTGACATAAAAAGGCAAGGATGTGCAGATCACAAAGTCACTGAATCCCACATCTTAAACTAATTAACGTCTATGCTTTGTATAGAGGTGTTGGGTGGCCATTTATCAAAATCAGTCTGTCGCATTTGGGAGATCAGGTGACATCTGTCCCATCCTAAGCATGAAAATTCAAGTCTAACTATATCAAGTCAAGAAAGTTTTGGTTTGGAGACCCACGGTAAATGGGGGTTGAGAAAGGAAACCAGAGCCAAACCCAACAATGTATGCAACGACACTCCATGGAGTAGCTGCAACTCTGTCCACACATGGTACCCATCTGACCAAACAATGCCAAAATTCTACCTGTTTATTTAAGAAGTCCCAACAGAAGAAAGACCAATGGGATTTGATAGTAGGATCCTTCTGGCCCAGAGCCATGAAGACATCAGGCGGGTATGTATTGCCATTCAGGTCAAATACCTTCTGTGTATATGTTTGTCTTATTGGTTGATAAATAAAGAACTGTTGACCAATAGGGAAGCAAGATAGGTGGGACTAGGAGTTGAGGAGGATTCTGGGAAATGTAGTAAAGAGTAGGAGTCACCATGTGATCCCAGGAAGAGAGGACGAAGGAGGCTGGCATCCTCGGTAAGATAAGACTGTATAGAAATATATATATGTTAGTAGTTATGGGTTAATACTTAAGACAGAGCTAGCCAATGAGAAGCCCTGGACATTGGCCAACAGCATTGTAACTATGTAGAGTCTCTGTGTGTTATTTGGGGTTGATGTGGCTCTGGGACCAGGCTGGTGGGAAGAATGCTCGTTACACAGGAGGATTAACACAAAATGACATTGGATTTCTTGGACCCTGAGGGAAAGACTGAAGTCCCCACACACACACACACACAGTCTCCCTGAAACCCACTGCCCTTTAGGGCCTTCAGCCAACTTCACCCTCAGAGAGAGAATTTCTGCACTTCACTCTTATATTTAAATTCCACTTTGAACATCCTGGTTTATTGTTCTGGCAGAAACCATGGTAACCCAAGACTTTGGCAATTTGTTTTTCCATTTCTCTATGCATCTTTACTCGGTGGAAGCAGAAAATTCCAGTACTTACTGTCTCAGGTACTTTCTGTAGCTGGGAATGGCCACATGATCCAGCCCAGGTCAGTGAGACAAAGGAGAATCTTCGATGGGAAAGTTGATTTCTTGCTAAAAGTGCACTGTGCCCTCCCAATCTTGTATGTACCCAAGCTGTACTGACACCTAATGAACCACCCACGTGAAGACAATGGGAAACTCACGGATGAAGGCAAGAGGCAGAAATAGTCATAGGACTGGAGAACTGGAGTGAGCAGTAGGGGCCACACCAACTTGCTTGCTTCACAGGCTTTCTGTTGTTCTAGGCTAAACGCTCTAAGTTCAGATGTTGACCCTCTTAAAGGTGGTTCTGGCTGGGCGTTGGTGCCACACGCCTTTAATCCTAGCACTCGGGAGTCAGAGGCAGGCGGATCTCTGTGAGTTCGAGGCCAGTTTGTTCTACACAGCGAGTTCCAGGACAATACAGAGAAACCCTGTCTCAAAAAACAGAGCCAACAAAACAAAGGTGGGGTTCTGCTAAAGACATACAGCGATGTAATGATTCTTAATAACATTTTGCTATTCTCATAGACCAGTGCCTTGCCCAGCCATCATCAGAGACACATTCCTCCTGCAGTCGATGGGAATAGATACCGAACCCCACAGCTAGACAGTGTGCAGAGACTGAGGACCTTGGGGCACTCAGTCCTAAATGTGACCTCTCCATCAAGCCCCTCCCCTCAGGGCTCAGGGAGCTATGCGGGAAGTGTGTGAGAGCCAGAGGGAATGGAAGTCACCCAGGCCTTCTAGACACAGCAGGGCTGACACACGCATGGACTCACAAAGGACAAAGCCAGATGGGGTTCCAGCACTGAGAGGTCTCAGAAGTCTAGAGCAGAAAGACGACTATCAGAAAGGAACTACAGGCATTAAAGCAAACGTCCTAAATGATCACCTCAGTTCCAACATGGTGTGCCATTTTCTCCCACAGTTGATTATCTACTCTAGTACTCTACTGCTTTTGTCATATTGATAACTCAGGAAGGGGATCTAAGAGGACTACTGCCGGAGAAAGCCTGGTTTTCTAGCAGGATCACAGCCTGGAGGCCGGGGATGAGAGTCAGCTGGGGAGGGTCTCGTGGGAAGCTTTGGTTCGGGACTCATGTCTTCAGGAGCTGCCTGCCAGGGGTTAAGGATTGGATTAATCAGATTCTCACTTTTCCTGGTCAGCTTTCTCAGTTCTTTAGAGGTAGGCGGGGATAAAGTCTAAAGGACTCTATTCCCACGGCTTTCCTATCCTCGCTGGGGAGGCAAAATCAAGCATTACAGGACTTGACATTCCGTTTTTTACTATCTGAACTTCGGGGGCTAAATTTAAATGGGAAGCAAGCCTGAGGGTTAACAACCTAATAGCTCCAGGTGGGTTGAGAAACTCTTCAGGTGGGACAGTTGACTGAAAACACCTGTGGGCCGTGAGACTCCGCCCCCTCCCCCAAGCTTCTGATAGGAAACATGTGTCTGGGCCTCCATTGCCACCTACCCCTCTGAGACTGCGGGGCCCGGGGCCAGGGGACCAGGACCGACTGCAGATGGACTCCCCATCCCCAGAGTTCCTTCTCCGCCCCTGGAGCCACACATGCACAGTCTCCACTCCCGAGGCGAAACTGGCGTCCTTCTACGCTCTGGTTAAGGGGAAAATCTGCTTTTGTTGAGGTAGGTTTAGTTTTCATTTCCACGCCGCCTCCGTCAGTGCGGATCTAACAAAGACATCTTGTGGCAAGATTTGACCTCTGAACCCTGAAAATTGTGTTTTTCCCCTAGTGGGAGGAAATGATTTGGAAATTTAGATTTGCACGTATGGATTTCAGCACGGATTGTTTAAAAAAAAAAGCCTCTTTATGGAGTTGATCCTTCCTTGGGAAAGTTTGCTGAATGAAATTTCATGTCAACTAGTTTTAGCTGAAGTAGTCCCCCCGCCCCCATTCCATTGTGTTGGGGCTCACTCAGTACCAACTGTCTTTTCCTGGTCTATTTCAAAACACGATTTAAAAATATAGACGTAACAACTCTTCCCTGAGATGCTGTTTCAAGTGAGAACCTGAGATGGCCCCTTCCCCAACACAGCATTTAATCTGTAATTTTGTAGGTTACTCTCATTTGCAGACTTTAGAAGGTACCTTTTATTCTCCTCGAAGTGTTAAAGCAATTTAGATTAATTGGCCTTGGAGTCTTTGATACCCATTTTAAAGACATTTTAAAATCTGGTGGAGACGGTACCCTTTCATATGTGATAAGTAAAATCCTTGGCACATGAAAGCCCTCTTCCTCTTTTTGTTTTTGCACAAAAGAAAATTTTCAGAGCTGCAGAGAAACTGCAGAGGTGAGAGACAGGAGGGTTGTCCCATGCTGAAGGCCGGCTCCGCTCTCCCTTCCGTACCCTTCAGAGCTGCCCGGGGAGAAGGGATGAGGGTGCTGGCTCCCCTCTCAGGACAAAGGGCGACTGCCAGGCACTCCACGTGGTTCCCACCACGCTTCACATTTGATGGCCGCCACCCAAACACGTTTACCAGGCCAAGTGTTCCACCACAAACAGCACAGCACGTCCAAAAGCTAGTGCCACTCCCTAAGGACAAAGGTTCAGTTTAAAGCTAGCCATGTGGTCGTCCCCGAGTGCTACCGAGGTAGGGTGGGGCCTTGCTGGGCTCGACTCTGACTCTAATACCCTCCATGAGGTTCCTGGGCCTAGCTGTTGAGAGGTAGATGCCATGCACTCTCCCTCTCCCTCTGATTGTTAGAGACAAAGTCCATATGGTGAAGGCTAGCCTCAGAGTGGAGACCCTCCTTGCCCAAGGCTTGGCCTCTCAGAATTCACCAATGTCCCTGAACTTGAGGGAAGGTACAGACATGATACAGGCATCACTTGGGCTTGGTGTACATTTCTTTGTTTAATTGGGGACCTTGGCTGGACTGGTAGAACGCTTGGTTAATGAGTGTGAGAAACACTTGGGGGTAAGCTAAACACCGGCAATCCCATTGCCTGGGAGGCTAAGGCAGGAGGATGGTGAATCCCAGGGTAGCCTGCACTGTGCAGTGAAAGGACAAGAAACGAGGCCAGCAGGAAAGCGCTTTTTGACGCTTCCTCGTGGACTCATTTCTCTCTCCCTCTGGCTAAGATATAATGTGTTGCCTTAGTGACGGGGAGAAAAGACTTACGAAAGGTCAACAAAGCCATCTGAGCCTCTGGTGGTGCCAGCCTGTAATCCCAGTGACTCTGGAGTCTAGGCCAGGGGATAGCAAGTTCAGGGGCGGCCTGGGAAACTGAGCCAAATCCCGGCTGCAAATATAAGGCACAGAGAGCTGGAGGTGTAGTTTACCAGTATAGCACTTGCCTGGGATGTGGATTCAAGCCCCGAGACTTTCACACAAACGAAAAGTATAAACAGGAACAGCCCACGAAGTAAAAGATACAAGTGCCAAAGAACTAGTGATATTCAGAAGTGGAGAGCGCGAAGATAACCATCAGAAAGGATCTAAAGGCATTTAATCGAACGTTACCGAGGGAAAGAAATGCACTGCTGTTAACACATTGCAGTGATCCTCATGGATTGGAAGTAGACAGAGTTGAGGCCACGCTCAGATTTCCAGCCCACAGCACTGCGACGGAAAGGATTTCTGCTTCACGTAGCTTACATGAGATACTTTGTTGTGGGAGTCCTAATAAACACAGTGTTAACAATTAATAATTAATATCTCTATTTTAAAGATAACAAAATAGACCACTACCTTACAGAAAAGAAGGTTACAGAAAATAGATATATGAACTTATAAATGGGGGTGGGGGATAACTGGGCACCGAGGAAATTTAAATAACTATGGGCATACTTCATTGGGTGCCCTGAAAGTATATTTAAAAACTTAGCTGCCCAAATTGATGCTATTAAAAACAGGAGACATATTGTTAATACCATGGGTCACAAATAAGACCACTACTACAGCTTAAAGTCAAATTTCACAGTTTAAAGTCAAATTTGAAGCAAGTTTTAATTAAATACTGGCCAGGTGGATGGACTCTGGTCAGGTCCATTCCCATGTTCCCAGGAAATGGTCCCCAAATAAAGTTTGGCAAGGGATTAAGAAGGAAAACCCATAATCCATTGCAGTTCCCGTCATGTCCAATCAGGGGCAAGCATACATCTTTATGTATTTCCTGCCTGTGAAACCCCTGCCCACATGTGATCAAGAACATCTGGTGCTGATGGGTCAAACAAACTTGCTTAGGGGACTGAAAACACATGGCTTGTTATCTCCCATAAACAAGAGCTTCCAGCATTTCAGGAACTGTCCTTGGGCAAGGGGGGCCTTGCAGATCAGAGGCATTTTTGTTTGACGGATCTCTCAGGCAAAGTAATTAAAGCACAAAATGCATCCTTGGCAAAAGGAAAGTTGTAAAAGATACTCATAGGGTAGGTTTCTTGGGATAATTTCACCAAACATTCAAACTCCCTGACCTGTAGAACATTAAGGAACAGAACCCTCCTCCATATTGACGTTTAACTCAGACGTAAGCCAATCAAAAAGAAAAAAAACCACACAAGGCATGAATGATGTTGTATAAAACACAAGTGATGAATATTGTTGTAAATTTCCCAGATGAAATATGTCAATGCAGAAACCATAGTTTCTTGAAGTGAATAAGAGATAGTTTATAGTGATCATGGTCTGGGAACACAGATATAGGTTACCCCAAATCTCATGTTCTGATGTGGAAACAGTTTCATGAAGTTTTATAGTTTTACAGGACAAAGGAAATTATTAAGACAAAAAATATACATTGACAGTAAAGGGAGATAGGGAAAAGCTTTTCTTCAGGTCCAAGATGGTCTCTGAGCTTTGGGGTGAATGGGAACTAGTGGTCTTCTAAGTTAATAGATTCCAGAAGATTCCTATTAGTCACAGGACATTGGTTCTGACATAGAGACGGGCAAGGAGTAGCCGCTCTGAGGCTTGAACTAGCCGCTGGACCTGCGACATTCCAACCTCCCCACAGTGCTGGAATTCTAAGTCATCCCGTCTCTGCACACACAGCTTCCTTCCAGGAGTTCTCATTCACAAATCGTTGCACACACAATTAAGTTTATTTCAGTAATACAAATGTGGTCAGTTAGGTGATCAGTTAAAGTAATCTATATTGAAGCGTTACAGAGATAATGATAACCTATGTACATGTCCAAGAGTCAGGGGATTATTAACCATTGAGACATAAATTCACTCTAGTCTCATTCTCAGGGAGTCAGAAGACCCGTCATTGTAACTGACAAGCAGGCTATAATATTCATAGAAAGGCCTAGATTAATTTTAAAATATTAATTTTACTTATTTTACAGTTGAGTCATGGGTGATGTAGCCTCTGTGATATGGGGGAGGCCCATAAATTTTATAATTGTACAAAGGTCATAGGTCAGCACAAGTCAAGGAGGTGGTTCAGTGTGCCTTCAGCTTCTCTTGAGTTGCAGGGAAGCAGAGTTCACATAGGAAGTGGAGTTCACTCCAGGAAATTCTGTTTCTTAGGCTTGGCTATAAACTTGGGAAATGGAAGAAAGAAAACGATAGTTTGATGTTTATACTGCTGATTTTCCCATCACCCCTTGTCCTGGCACAACTTGATGGGTTACCAGTCACTTTAGGGTGTGACCTTTTGGGTAGATGAGCCCTGGGTCTTGATAAGGTCTTTCTTTGTTTCTTTTGAGTGGATTCCTGAGTTTCCCAGTTATCAGGTTTAAGACATATTCATACAGCCAACTGCCAAAGTCAAAAAACATTTCAGAGATTGAGGGGCTTTTCCCAGATTCAATGCTGACTTTAATCCCTCAACCTAGCTACAGAGAGCTCATCCCCAAACATGTTTTCAGTGTGTGAGTTTTCTAGTTGAACTACACAAACAGGCACATAGTGAAATGGGCCGGAAGTCAGCTGCCCTAACCCCATACCTTCTCCGTGCTTGATGGTCTCTGACTCCATAACAGACCCCACTTTCTCTCAATCATATTCTGCCTGAGAGGACAAAGGGCTCCTCCTTTCTTGGAAGGGGACTATGCTTGTAAAATCCCCCACTTTTTTTTCCTTTATAAAATTTCTATTGTATTTTGAAGCAAGAGTTCTTTGTGACAGGAGCCCGCTTTCCTCTCTGGCTCAAAGAAAAGACTTCTATTTGGCCTTATATTTGCAGTGGCCTGTAAATCACTCGACATAGGTGCAGTACCATTAGTGCTACGTTACTTGCTGGGTGTCTGGGAGAAGGTGCTATGGAAATACCATGGCTTCCCTGTGAGAAGTCACTCTGTACACTGGAGATGAAAGGAAGGCTCTTTATCAGCACTTGTCCAGATGGGGCTAATGCCCAGGGAAGAGTGGCCTCAGACAGAAGATCTGACAAACTTACATACAGTTTAGGCTTATGCATTTTACATGAGCTGTCATCATTAAGTCGTTTTTAGGTCCTGGCCCCACGTTATATTTTGGATAATTTAAATAGACAAGAGACTTCAAGTCTGGTCACTTGGCACATGAGAGATTTGCAAAGCAAAGGCAGTAATATTTCTGAAATACATCTGTGTTGTTCTTTTCTAATAGCTGTTACTTGGGTCATCTTGCCCACCTGGAGGGATTATGCTTTTTCTGATAAGAACACAGCAGACTTAAAGGTGGCTGTGACCCTGTGCTGTCCCCTGGAGTTGCCTCTTAGAGACACATTCTTTGATATGCGTGGGGATGGACCTAATGGCTGGTTGTAAGTCAGGGATGTCCTCTTTCTTTGTCCTGGGAATGGAACCTAGTTGAAGGTCAGTCTTGGTGAATGAGTTTGAAGACAGGATGGCTGATGGGCATATAACTGCCACGTGAACACGTTCTGATCCAGCTTTGAGCTTGTTGAGCAGGGGCCTCGCAGACAGGAGAAAATACCCATAGGCCTTTGCTTTAAGTTGCCAGGTACCTGTCTCAGGTCAGAAAGGTGAGGAAGAAGCCATCCATCTTGGAAATTTATCATCTTCATTACTTAGCCGTGGCTCCTCTGCCTATCAGGGAGTCCTTCTAACTTTTTATCCTTCTAAATTTCCCTCTGAGGAACAGGGGTGGCTGTCCACATGGAGGAAGCGAGCCTCAGAAGTCCTTGCGAAGCTGCCTCTCAGCATTCTGGGAGAGCTACCCCTGGGGGCACTGGCTCATGATGTGGGAATCTCCGGATAGATGTACCCCAGGACCCTTAGATGAATCTACTGTCTCCCTCAGCCTTTCTCTCCCGTGTCTTAAAGGTCCATCTTCAACGACCATTTCCTTCACCTAGAAGGAAAGACACTATGTTGACACTATGAAACAAAGACACTATGTTGACATTAAGGAAAGACATGTCTTTTTTTTTATGTTATCAAGACATCTTCAATGCCATATCCTGTAGACTCTGAAGTGTTCGAAGACGACCTGTCTTTCTAAAAATGTGTTTGACCTTGTAAACATACCTGTTGTGACTACAAATTTAGTTGTAATAGTTGACTAGCTGCTAAACTCGTGACTAAACAGAAGCAAACGGCCAAGGTAGCAGCGGGAGAGAGACGCAGTGTGCCAGACAAGGTAACAGGATGAGGAGACGAGGTGAAGAGGAGACGAGGGCAAAGATCTGGGAAAGGTAGAGAGAGCCGGAAGAGGAACAAGGCCGCCGTCGTCGTAGCTGTGGGCGGGACTCCATGCTGGTGTGGTCTGCATGTTCTCTCCCCCTCTGGGGCTTCCACTGAGCACCTTGTCCTGACGACCTCTCAAGGCCCCAGAGGACAGTGTAGGCGGAAGTTACCGTCCTGCCAGGTCCTGCAGCCCTTCAGCCCCAAATAAGCACACAGAGACATAGGGCTTCTTACTGGCCGGCTCTCTCTTAATTGCTAACCCATAGCTATTAATCTATGCATTTCTACATGGCCTTATCTTACCATAGAATACTTATCTTCCCAGTCCCCACATGGTGTCCCCTGGCGGCCTTTCCTCTCTCCCCAGAATTCTCCTGTCTTCCTGCCTCTGCTGGACGATCACTGTTTATTTCATCAACCAATAGGAGAAACGTATATACAGAGGGACATCCCCTATCAGGACAGGCCAAGGAAGCACTGGGCATTCCTGAGAGAAGCTGTGTGCCGTGCTTTGACTCAGCCATCCATGTCAGAAGGCAATGAAGATGGTGACACATGCCAATCCTTGGAAAAGCTGAGGCCCTGCTTTCCCTGAAGTCACATTAGAAGAGGGGTGGGCACTTGGGTGATGCTGTCCCTGACAACCAGGCCTACGCCTGGAGGGGTGTTTTCTTTTTCTGTAATATTTATTTATTTAATGTGCACTGGTGTTTTGCTTGTATACACCCTCTGTGAGGGTGTCAGATACCATTGAACTGGAGTCACACACAGTTGTGAGCTGCCATGTGGGTGCTGGGAATTGAACCTGGGTCCTCTGGAAGATCGGCCGGTGCTCTTAACCGCTGAGCCGTCTCTCCAGCCCCTTTCCTGTGTTCTCACTCCTCAGCATCAGTAAGAGAGCCCACTTGGGAGGCATGAGGACTGTAAATCCCAGTGTTTACACCAACAGCTGTGCACACCTGCAACCCGAGTGCTGTGGGGGTCCCAGGCAGAAGGGACTGACTGCCAGTCTAGTTCCGGGTTAGTGAAAGATCCCGTCTCAAGGGAACAAGGCAGAGCAGGGTATCTGCTGCTGTCCTTTGGCCTCCACAAGTGCATACACGTGTACACATGTGCGCACACACACAGGGCGTTGTGCACATCCCCGCATACGGTCACACATACTGCACACATACATCTAGAAAAAAAATGAAACAAAACACCAGAATGCAACAGTGTGTGCAACACCCAATGGCGGCCGTGGCTCCAGAGGTGCCTTGCCCTTACTAGCTCCCTCAACAACCCTCACAGCCCCACGTAGCGAGCGATAAGCGCTCTCACCCTGCAGAGAAAGACACAGAGATATAGGCGAAGCGACTGGATAGGGTCAACCGGAAAGCTGCAGACCCCACCCTGGTGCGTTGGCCAGCCACGGCCCTTTGACACGGCCAGCGTTGCTTTTTAGAACGTGCCAGCAGTTAACTTATTGTATGCCACCAGAAGCCGATGTTATTCCACAGCCGGGGGACAGTATTTCTGCGCCTCTGTCATTTAGAATGGTTAATTACTTACTCGATCAAGATTTAACGAGTAGAAATAAAAGGATGTCTCCAGTATATAGACGTTTACAGGTAATATATATATTCAAAACAGGCTAGTCAAAAGTCAAAAACATCTGTTGGACACATTAATTTTTGCGGGAGCAGTGCTGTCTCATTCTGATATAAATTTGCTGGGGAAAGGTATTTACAGATTGGCTTTGGTGTTCTGGACAGGAACCGCCCCTCTGAATTGATGAACATGTCCTGGTGGAATCAGTGGGCTGTATTGCCATTCCACAGGGAAGATAAGAACTGAGGCCGCGTCCTGCGTGTGATGATGAAGCCATCAGCGCGTTGCTGCTTGTTGATGGAGGAGTTTATGTTAGCCTGCCAGCCTTTGCGATGGCTCCAGTCAGCACAGCTCCTGCTTTGCCAGCCGAGGGCACCCAGCCTCCACTCCCAGTGATCCCAGTTTGTTCGGCCATCTTGAAAAGCTGGATGTCAAACCACAGCAATGACATTGTGACAACTGGGTTCACTAGGCCTGTGATGCTGTGCCGTGAGCTCCCAGAGACTGAGATGGCATGCACGGGGCGTGCAAGGGTCTGCACCAGACTGAAAGAAGCAGCAGACACAAGCCCCCACCCCCAGCTGGTACCCACTGGCAAATGAAAACTCAGCTTTCTCCAAGCATCTTTTCTTGTGCTCTCTTCTTTGTTTGTTTTACCCTATTCTGATGTGTTGGTTTTTGTTTTATATATTATATCAATTGTCTTGTTACCCCTTAAAAGCCTGTTTGTTTTCTAATGAGATACAGAAAAGGTGTGGGATACAGATCCGAGGGCAAGTGGGGAGGAGCTGGGAGTGGAGGGAGGGAAAACTGTAATCAGGATAGATCTTATGGGAAGGAAAGTTCACATTTCTGATGTTCACTTTCTACAAGTAAACAGGGATGGTGAGGGGAGGAAAATCTGATTACCTGCTTGGCACAGTGGGGCTCTCCTCGCTACCAGTATTCCTTAAACAAAAAAAGGAATAGCCAGTCAAATACCCAAACCCTTGCCAGCAGGAACTCTCTGGAACATTCCTTGAAAGCCTTGAGAAAACATGGCTACCACAGCTGATTGCCCTGCCTCCTGGGGTGCAGGCTTTAGCCAAGGCTGTTTGAAACCGTTTGTCCTTTGGTTATCACAAGCCTCTGTGAATTCTAGATAACTCTATAAACATCTCCATCCAGGCCAGATGAGAAGCCCCGGTGGTCTAGCACATGCTTTCTTTTTAATTTTTAAGATCGTAAACACATAAATCTCCCCTTCCCTTTCCTCCCTTCAAACCCTTCCGTATAATTCTCCTTGCTCTCTTTCAAACTCGCGGCCTTTTCCTCATCACTTGTCATTGCATGACGTATGTACACATACTTACTTCTAAATCCAGCCCGCGCAGTCTGTATAATGTTACTTGCATGTATCCCAGGCCCATTCTCTTCCATCTCCCCTTCTAAAAGACTTTTGTACATTCTAGAATCCAGCCCTCTGCCGGATGTCCAGCTGCCAACAATTCTCTCCCATTCTTGGGTCTCCTCTTTTCCAGGCTTCTTTTTTCTTTTCCTTAGTGGTGCGGAAACTTTTTAGTTTTAGGGAGTTCCACTTGTCAGTTGTTGCTCTAATTCCTGGTTGGATGGAGTCGTACTCAGCCTATTCGGGAAGTCCTCTCCTCCATCTGTGCCAGACAGGGCACTTTCTTCCAGCAGTTGGCGTGTCTCAGGGCTCAGACTAAGGTCTGTGATGTGTTTGGGGTAGTTTTTTGCGTCAGGTGATAGGTAAGGGTCTGGCCTCATTGTTCTGCGTGTGGACAGCGAACTTTCCCTGCACCATTAGGTGAAGATGCTTTCTTTGTTTCATTGTTCTGCGTGTGGACAGCCCGTCCCCCCCCGCACCATTAGGTGAAGATGCCTTCTTTTCTTCAGTGTATTTCCTTCCCACCGGTGTCAAATACGCAGTGGCTGAAGTTACAAGAGCTCACGTTTGGGTTTTACGTTCTGTTCCGTTGGTCTACACGTCTCTCTTTGTGGTGCTATGCCATATTTTGAGGTCTGGAATGGTAATCCTTTAAGCATTGTCTTTTTTACTGAAGATTGTTTTGGTTATCTGGGATATTTTGTGGTTCCAGAGGAATTTTAGGACAGCGCTTTCCATTTTTTTGGGGGGGAAGGAGAATGATAAGGGTATTTTGATTAGCATTGCTTTGAATCTGCAAATAGCCTTTGGTAGAAAGGTCATTTTTCACAACGATAGTTTTACTAATCATGAGGTGAAATTTTATGTCTTTCCACTTTCTAGTGTCTTTATCTTTTCCTTCAGAGAGCTCAAGTTTTAACTATTGAAGTCCTTCAGTTCCTTAGTTAGGTTATTCATAGATACTTTATTTTATTATGTGGTTATGTTATTATGTGATGCTATTGTGAATAGGTCCAGTAGCTTTCCTGTGTGTTTGTTGTTGGTGTATAGAAAAGCTTTTGGTTGGTGCGAGTTGACTCTGTTTCCTTCTATATTGCTGAATTTATCATATCTAGAAGTTTTACCACTAGAACTTTAGGGATCTCTAATTGTATAGCCTCATATCATCTATAAATAGGGATAGTTTGACTTCTTTCCCTATTTGTATCCTTTAATTTCCTTCTCTTGTCTTTTTGCTCCAGTTAGTATTCCAAGAATTCAATTTTGAGAATGAGTGGGGATAGTAGACATCCCATTCCTACTCTAAGTTCAGTGGGGTGGCTTCAAGCTTTTCTCCATTTGGGATGCTGTTGGCTGTGGGTTTCTTGTATATCAATGTTACAGTGTTTTGGTGTGTTCCCTCTCACCCTACATTTTCTGGGACGTTTATCATGGAAGTATGCTTTTCAGCATCTATTCAGCACCATGTGATCATCTCGTGTCTATTTATGTGGTTCATTACATTTATTGACTTGCACATGCTGAATCATCCATGCATCTCAGAGATAAAAGCCAACTTGGTCATGATGAATCATCTTTTTGATATATGGCAATTTTCTGTTTGTAAGTATTTCATCTAGTATTTTTGAATCTATGTTCATCAGGGGTGTTAGCCAGCTGTTTTCCTTTTTGTTGTTGTTGTTGTCTTTATCTGGCTTTTGGTATTAGAGTGATACTGGCTTCATAGAAGGAATTTGGAGTTTGGGAGTCTCTCTCTCTCTCTCTCTCTCTCTCTCTCTCTCTCTCTTTGTCTCATCCTTTCTTTTTTTGAATAGTTTAAGAAGGATTGGCTATAGATCTGTTTTGAATGCCTTGAATAATTTTGCTGTGAAGTCATCTGGTCCTAGTTGTTTTATTTTTTTCTGGAAGATTTTTTAAAATTACTATTTCAATCTCTTCATTTGTTATGGGTCTGTTTATGTTATTGACTCCTTCTTGGTTTAATTTTGAAATTCTTCCATTTCTTTTGGGTTTTCTATCTTTATGGAATACAGGTTTTAAAACTACTCCTGTATAATATTAATTTCTTTGTGTCTGTTACAATGGTTCCTTGTTAATTTCTGATTCTGTTAATTTGGGGCCTATCTTTCTTTCTTTTAGTTAGTTGGGCCAAGAGTCTACCAATCTCATGTATCTTCTCAAAGAGTAAGCTCCTAAATTCACAGATTCTTTGTATTATTTTCGTTGTTCCCATTTCATTGATTTCTTTTCTAATTTTTATTATTTCTTGTCACTGACTGGGTTTGGGCTTGGTTTGTTTTTGTTTTTCTGATGTTTTGAGTTGCATCATTAAATCATTCATTTGTGCTCTTTCTGGTTTTTTAAGGTAGGCTCCCAGAGCTATACATTTCCATTGCAAGACTGCTTTCAGTGTGTCCCAAAGGTTCCTTGTGTTGTGTTTTCATTTAGTTTGAGGAAGGTTTCTATTTCCTTATTTTTTTCTTTGATCCATTTATCATTTAGTAACAAGTTGTTTAATCTCCATGAGTTTGTGTATTTACTAGAGTTTTTTGCTGCCACTTTTTAAATTTTATTACCCTGTGGTTGGACAGGATACAAGGAGTTGATTTCATTCCTTTTGAATTTATTTTAGAAGAGCTTCTGTTTGCTATTGGGTAGAATGTGCATTTTGGTGTGTGGTGGTGTGAATAAGAATGGCCCTCATGGGCTTTGCGTAGGTCTGAATGCTTCATCATCAGGGCGTGGCACTATTAGGAGGTGTGGCCTTGCTGGAGGAAGTGTGTCACTGGCGATGGACTTTGAGGTTTCAGAAGCTCAAGCCAGACCCAATGTTTCTCTCTCTTCCTGCTGCCTGCTGATCTGGATGTAGAACTCTCAGCTACCTCTCCCCATGTCTGCCTGAATGCCGCCATGCTTCCCATATGATGATGATGGACCAAACCCCTGAAATTGTAAGCCACCCCAATTAAATGTTTTTCTTTATAAAAGTTGCTGTGGTCAAGGTGTCCCTTCACAGCAATAGAACGCTGCCATTCTGATGGGTTTTCCTTTATATGGTGACTTGTGTTTTTTCCTCTTGCGACTTTCCACACACTTTCTTTGTTACATATACTTTAGTGTTTTAACTATAATATGCTGTGGGGATTTTCTCTTCCAGTCTTGTCTGTTTGGTGTTCTGTGTGCTTGATGTATTTCTATGGGCGTGTCTTCCTATAGCGATATATTCAGCCTCTGCACCTGTAGCAGTGACCACGCCTTTTGGGTGTGGTTACAGGACATGATCGGTTAAAGGAAAAGGATCGTGCCTCAGAGGGTCTCTTTGGGTCATGGAGAGTGTCTGGGAGGCAGAGTCTGCATCCTTTTGTGCAGGACCGCCGCGACAGTCAGTCACGTGTTTTCTCTGTGAGTTCTTTCCCCCCCCAAAACACCATCTATTATTCTACAGGGTCTGGTTAATTCATTACTACCCGCCTACATCTTTCCTCATTTGGGGGAAGTTTTCTTCTACGATCTTGTTCAAGATCTGGTCTATGCCATTAACTTGAGATTCTCCCCCCTTATTTACACCTATAAATTGAAGGTTCGGCAGTTTCACGGAGTCCCATGTTTTTTTCTGTGTTCCTTTCCGTGTTTCTTTCTTTCACAACCCTTGCTTATTTGACCTGGAACTGCGGCTTTGTCTTTGAGTCCTGATATTCTGTCTTCTGTTTGTTTCTACAGCTTTGAGTTTCCTAGTTGAGTTGTCGGGGTTTTCAATTCCACCTTCATTTCAGCTTGAGTCCTCTTTACCATCCAGCTCCTTGCTGGATTCTGCTCTTAAGCACTGGAGTGTCTTCCTTGTTTCCAGCAGCCTGTGTATGCGTTTTCTTGGGCACCACTCAGGCATTTATTGTCCCTGAGCTCTTTCTCCTTTATTACACCAAGCTGTTTCTTTGTGCCTTCTTTAAAACTGCTTTAATTCCTCGATGAAATTTACGGTTGTTATTTTAAATCCTGCATGCTGGGTTTCATCTAGATGTTACTCGTCAGCAAACATTTCTACAGCACCGGTAGGTTTTAGGGAGAAGATACTGGCCTGATTTCCCACAATGTTACTTGTGCAATGAGTTCTGGGCATGGGGACTGCTTTAAAAATTTTTTTGAGTCTGTTATGGACAGAACAGGTTGGGGTACAAGAGAGGCTTTGTGGGTGGTTTGGGTTAGAGGTAGGAAATGGCTTGTGTGGAAGAAAGTCAGGTGATCAGAGAGTACTGGACTGGTATGCAGAATATGCTTCCTGTTCCAGGCTGGGGTGCTGGGGTAGATCTGGCTTGGTAGAAAGGTTAGATATAGC